ACTCTGTCCTCCTCTGGACTCAGACTGGACTCAGACTCTGTCCTCCTCTGGACTCTGGACTCAGACTCTGTCCTCTGGACTCAGACTCTGTCCTCTGGACTCAGACTCTGTCCTCTGGACTCAGACTCTGGGACTCAGACTCTGTCCTCTGGACTCTGGACTCAGACTCTGTCCCTCTGGACTCAGACTCTGTCCTCTGGACTCTGGACTCACTCAGACTCTGTCCTCCTCTCTGGACTCTGTCAGACTCTGTCCTCCTCTGGACTCTGGACTCAGACTCTGTCCTCCTCTGGACTCAGACTCTGTCCTCCTCTGGACTCAGACTCTGTCCTCCTCTGGACTCAGACTCTGTCCTCCTCTGGACTCAGACTCTGTCCTCCTCTGGACTCAGACTGGACTGTCTCTCCTCTGGACTCTCTGTCCTCTCTGGACTCAGACTCTGTCCTCCTCTGGACTCTGGACTCAGACTCTGTCCTCCTCTGGACTCAGACTCTGTCCTCCTCTGGACTCAGACTCTGTCCTCCTCTGGACTCAGACTCTGTCCTCCTCTGGACTCTGGACTCAGACTCTGTCCTCCTCTGGACTCAGACTCTGTCCTCCTCTGGACTCTGGACTCAGACTCTGTCTCCTCTGGACTCTCTGGACTCAGACTCTGTCCTCCTCTGGACTCAGACTGTCCTCCTCTGGACTCAGACTCTGTCCTCGTCTCTGTCTGTCTTCTGGACTCAGACTCTGTCCTCCTCTGGACTCTGACTCTGTCCTCACTCTGGACTCAGACTCTGTCCTCCTCTGACTCTGGGACTCTGTCCTCTGTCCTGTCTGGACTCTGTCAGACTCTGACTCAGAGAAGTGTCCAGTTCTGAAACAGAAGAACATGTGATTTTTGTTTGTTTTGTCTTATATAAAAGTAACTCTCTCTCTCTTTATTCTCTCTCTTTCTGTCTCGTGCACAGGTGTACTCGTACCTCGTACTCGCGCATGCGCCCTGGACATAAAACTTTGCTGTGGCGCCACGAGCCCCTGAAGACAGCGGTGGCGCGCGCAACAGATTAATGCGCGTGTCACGTGCGTGTTATACATTTACCGCGCGCGGCTGCGTTCATGATTGCGCCGTATGCAAATGAGCTGGCGCGGGCACGTATGAGCGCGTGCGTGCGCGCGCGTCTCTCCACTCTCCGCGCGCACGAGGCTCTTCACTGAAAAACACCGCTCCGCTTTTTATTTTATTTTATTTTAGTTAAACAATAATATAAAGATAAAAACTAAAACATTTGTAGAGACTCAAGATTCACATTCACAGGAATCAGCCCGTGTAATATCTGCATTATATATATGTGAATTTATATGTAAAAAATAATAAATACATTCGTATTTTATATTTTCAATTAAAAACAAAGTGTGGGATTTGTGCAATAATTTAGAGAATTTATCTCTTTCTCTCTCTTTGTCTCTCTCCCTCTCTTTTCTCTCTCTCTTTGTAAATGTAGAAAAATACAAAAGAAATAAATAAATTCGTATTTTATATTTCAAATTCCAAAGTGTTTTTGTTTTCATGGTTTTGGGATTTGTGCGATAATTTAGAGAATTTATAATTTATACAAGAAAACAACAAAAGAGACTCAAATACAACAGATTTGTTTTTCTAGATTTTTTTTTTTTTTTTTTTTGCTGGAATATGTTTTTTAAAGACAGAAAAACTCCACGTTTGACATTAAATTGTTGGTTTGTGTCAGATTTTCTCTTCACAAATAAAAATATTTCATGATTCGCGCGTGACCGTCCCCAAAGCGCACGCCGCTCCACGCGCTCATGAGCGGGTGACGCGCGCCCAGATGCACGCCGGGTAATGTTCGTGCTCGTGTGCGCGTGCCCGGGGCGGCTTGTCTCGCTGCACTGAACCTGCACGGAGGAACGCGCACGGGAGGAACGCGCACGGGAGGAACGCGCACGGGAGGAACGCGCACGGGAGCAGAGGAACGAGCCGCGCGGACGGACCGGACCTGCGCGTAAAATCACGGCGTAAAAGCCACGAGAGACGCAGCGGCGGCGCGTGAGGGGAAACGCGTGGACTTGAAACGCGACGCGCTGCGGTTCCGGTGCGCACGGCGGAGCGGATCTGACACGGAAGCGCGCGCGGATCCGGTGACGTGGGACGGAAAACGCGCCGCGGGACGAAGAGCGGCATCACACGAGCTCCGCGATGTGGGACTGGCTCGTCAAACTTTGGACGAATGGAACGCTGCAGTGATGTGACGTTCGTGAACGAGCCGGGACCGGATCTACGTTTTTAAAAAGAATCGGATCTTTTTCTTCTTGATTTTTACGCATTTTGACGCCGAGGAGCCCAGAGCGAACACGAGACTCAGACAGAAGCGCAGGATGAAGCACGAGTCGGAGCTTTGTGCACGAAAAACACTCCTGGGATCATAATAACACTTTGTTTTTTATTATTTTTTATCGTAGTGCAACGACTTATGTCCATTTTCATCATTTCAAAACGTAAAAACACTCCTCTACTCACTTTGAACCATTTTAAACAATTCTTCACCTTTTTATTTTTTTACTTTTTTATGAAAATGAACAAATAAATTCTAAAAGAGACAGTATTTTGAACGGCTCCTTGAAATGAGCAAATCCAGAAGATTCGGATCCCGCAGAAGAGCCGAACGCGGGGAAATTAGCGCGTGTTCCGGACTCGACTGAGACTCGGTGGACCCGGTGCTTTAGGAGCGGGACGTGCGCGCCGCGTGAAGGTCACCGCGAGCCCCGTGTGCGCGTACAGATCGCACGGTCCCGGTCCTGGGTCCCGGTCCCGGTCCTGGTCCTGGTCCCGGTTCAGGCATTTCAGGAAACCCCGAGCTGATGAGGTGAGGCACGTGAGGGGTAAAGTCAGAACCAGTGACCAGATGTTTAAATTCTAAACTGGGACTAACTCGGGTCTGGATATTTGGTTTAAATAAAATAGCAAAAGAAAAAAAAAAAAAAAAAAAAAAAAAAAACAACACCGTGGAACATTCTGACTTTTTTACTTTATGATCATTTCCAAATACAATTTTCTGTATTTTGGCAAAACAAATGAAAGTTCATGCTCCTCTGTACTGATGAAAAGGACCAGATTAGACAAAAAATGTGACAGTTTAGTCTTCAGTCTTAGTTTAGACCTGGTTTTATCCTTGTTTAGTCCTGACGTAGTCCTGGTTTAGACCTGGTTTAGTCTTAGTTTAGTCCTGGTTTAGTCTTAGTTTAGTCCTGGTTTAGACCTGGTTTAGTCCTGGTTCAATCCTGGTTTAACCTGGTTTAGACCTGGTTTAGTCCTGGTTTAGTCTGGTTTAGGTTCCCTGGTTTTAGACCTGGTTCAGCTGGTTTAGACCTGGTTTAGTCTGGTTTAGTCTGGTTTAGACCTGGTTTAGTCCTGGTTTAGACCTGGTTTAGACCTGGTTTAGTCCTGGTTTAGACCTGGTTCAGTCTGGTTTAGACCTGGTTTAGTCCTGGTTTAGTCCTGGTTTAGACCTGGTTTAGTCCTGGTTTAGACCTGGTTTAGACCTGGTTTAGTCCTGGTTTAGACCTGGTTTAGACCTGGTTTAGACCTGGTTTAGACCTGGTTTAGTCCTGGTTCTGGTTTCTGGTTTAGACCTGGTTTAGACCTGGTTTAGTCCTGGTTTACCTGGTTTAGACCTGGTTTAGTCCTGGTTTAGACCTGGTTTAGACCTGGTTTAGACCTGGTTTAGACCTGGTTTAGTCCTGGTTTAGTCCTGGTTCAGTCCTGGTTTAGACCTGGTTCAGTCCTGGTTTAGACCTGGTTTAGACCTGATGTAGTCCTGGTTTAGTCTTAGTTTAGTTTTTCCGGGTAAATGAGGACGTGTTGACTCTATTTTTGTATTAGACTGAATATACATTAAAGGTACATGATGTAACTTTTCAGCCGGGGTCCGTCACCTGTTTGTTTCTATGGAAACATCACTGCTCTGTCTGGAATATTCCACAGTGGGACTTTAAACAGCTCGACTTTACATTTATTCAATCACAGGTGGTTTTATGTCATAAAAATCCCTCGAAAAATAAACACTGACTGTGAGCGGGGTTGCCTCTCCACAGATCTGACCTGGAACTGGGTCCGGTTTGGTCTCCGTGAAGGTTTAATGCCGCAGTGTGGAACATTCCAGACAAAGCAACAACATCTCCAAATCCAAATCTTTATTTCTACAGCACAGTTTACAAAAAAAAGCCATTTCAGATCAGAAACAAAAAAGTAAACTGCTCAGACTTTAGGTCACACGAGTCCAAAAAATTAAATAAAATAAAACCATAAAAATCATAAAATAACAGTAAGTTAAATAATTGAAATCATATTTTAACGGAGAAGTTCCACAGTGCATCTTTAAATTACATTTGTGTTTTGTGACATGGTCCAGTCAGAGTATTTTGTATTCTGTAGTAGTAGTAGTTTTTTTGTAGTAATAGTTTATTCTGTCATTTTACAGCAGTACAAATCAAAACAAAACCTGGAGTTGTGTTTTTTTATTCACATGTTTGAGTGACTCTTTATTATTCGTTCGTCTACATCTGCAAAACTCCAAATGCTCTGTTCCACCTGGTGATGTCACGATGACCTGGTTTAGTCCTCGATTAGACCCGGGATAGTCCTGTTCTAGTCCTGGTTTAGATCTGGTGGTGCTGTAGTCTAATTGTGTACATTTGTGTGAAGGAGTTTTCTGCTGATGGACTTTTGGAGCTTTTGGTTCTAACGCTGTTTCCTCGTCCAGAATCACACCTGAACAGGTTTCAGAGTCTTGTCCGTGTCGGTGTTGGACTAATCTGGTCATATTTGTAGATATGGATTTTTAGCTTTGATAATCTAAAGCCACGCCCACAAATTTATCTTGGTATCGATAACGAACGATACCGATACTGAATCCAATGAAAACCAATCACCCATGTGAATTTTCATGTTCTTCACGTGTCGCCTTCTGACTCGAGTCTCTTGTTTCCAGAGTAAATCT